TGGGTGTCACCATTTGGCTCAGAGCAATGTGCCCTGCATGGCAAGCCAAGCATTGTGTCCGGCATTGCGGGACAATGAAAATCCTGGCCTCTCCTGTGATCCCAACCGCAGCCTCGGGGTAGACCCTTGGCCCCCTCCGCCTACCCAGCCAAAGCTCTGGACACCCCCATGTTTATGTCAACAGAGCGGTTGCTAGAGGGGCAGGCTCCCGTCCGGCAGGGGGTGTCCAGCCCGTTGTTTGTGTACCTCGTCTCAGTAGTGACCGAGGGGCTGGCACTCGCGAGCTGGGTCTCTGGGGCAACGCGCTGTTGGGGTCCCAGCTGTTCCAGCACATAAAGCACCCGCTCCATCAACCTGCTCCGGTGTCTTGTTGCACCGAGTGAGAATTTAAACCTTCCCCTGGTGAGGCTGCTATTTTCCACCCGCCGCCTCCTGGCCTCTCTGCTCCCTTCCTCATGAGGGCAGCTCGGCATCCAGCCAAGACCCAAGGAGTGGCCGAGCCTGGCCCTGTTCCCTCCTCCTCGGCCACCTCCTTGCTCCTCCGAATGTTTCCTGAACCAACCATGGGAAATGGGACCTGGAGAGGCAGGCTGTGGCTTCCTCTGGGCCTAACCCAGCTCCTTCTAGCCTCTGTAGCCTCTGCCGCCTGGAGCGGGGCCGGGGCCCACAGGGGCAGGCTGGGAGAGTCCCCTTTTAGTTCCATCCCCACTTACAGCTGCCTGTCTCTATGCCTCTCCCCCTACACACATATACCAGCTGCTGCCAGAGCCCAGTCTCCCTGAGCACCCCTTCTCCCCCAGTCCCCTTCGTGCCCCTCCTCCCTTAGAGCCTGACCCCCCAAGTCCTGGCAGCAGTAGGGACTGAATAAAGGGGTTAAGAGCGTGTGTATGGAAGCGCAGAGCTCTCACTAGCTACGTGACCTTGGGCAAGTCACTTAACCTCTCTGGTCTCAATTTTCTCACCAAAAAAATGAGGATAATACTACTACCTACCCGACATCCTTGTGAGGAGTTCATTTACGGGGCCTGGGTAACCAGTCTCAGGCCCCAGTCGGGCTGTGCTCGTGTCTGCTCTCACTGTAACTGAATTCCAGGCAGGATAACACAGTGGGGAAAGCATGGGACTTGGAGGCTGACAGACCTGGGTTCAAATCCCAGCGTCCCACTGACTCCTGGTATGATCTTAAAGTAGAAGCCGTACTTCCCAGTGTCCTCCATGCAGGAGGGTCATACTGATAGAAACTTACTCAGTGGTGCTAACGTGGGAGTGGGAATGCCTGCCCTAAAAACAGTGTAGTAGCAGCTGCAGGAGGAGGACGCAGGCTCCTGGCATCTGATCCCCCAGATTAGCTGCCGCATTCTGGGGCCGATGGGGGAACGGGTCTGGCTTGGAAAGAAGAGCTAAGGACCAGCCAGGAATTCAGGTCCCCAGGAGGTGCCATAAATAGCCAGAGCTGTCCAGGGCCTCCAGAGATGGGGGGTGGGGGGAGCTGGAAAGGAGCAGTGGAAAAAGGAAGCTGTCAGTCATCAGTCCAGGGGAAGGTCTAGGGAGCTCACTCAAGCATCAAAGGAAAAACTGTGTATGGGTGTGGCGGAAGCGAGGGGTCACCTCTTCAGAGAGGACGAGCCTGGGACCACCTCTGCACCTCCCAACCACTGGGTCAGAACATTTGCGTCACACTGTTCGCCTCCCCCCTGCGATGCTTGGGAGCCAGCCCTCTCCTCATTTCCCTCCCTTGGACCGTCCTGGAAAAGGAAGGTGCGAACACGGAGGCCCAGAGGTGCTAAGTGATTTGGCCAAAACCACACAGTAAATCAAGGACTGAGATGGGGATTAAACATGGATTTTTCCCTCCCAATCGAGGGTTACACACGACAGCCAAAATATCAGAACCTGTCCTCGGGGAAGAAGTCAGGGGGACGGGGAACCGAAAGGACTCTTCCTCCCTTGCCTGAGCACATCACTGTAGCTGTTGATAACGGTGTGGAGATATACTCGTCAGAGCTAGCTGGGTGCAGCCCTGGAAATAGGACCTGGGCTCAGAAGACTGGACTTGCCTCATGTAATCTTGCACAAATCCCTTCACCTTTCTGAGCTGCAGGTCTCTAACTCCCAAAACAAGGCCCATAATTCACGCCCCGTGTGAGAAGGGTGAGAGGACTGAGATCATGCTCAACGGGCTGCCTAATGGTGCCCAAAGGTTACAGAGACTGGGAGCACCTGGTGAGCCGCACCTTCCTCGTCTCTGTGTTCCTGCTGTTTACCACAGTGCCTGCCATATAGGAGCCCTCAGTAAATGTGGATTGATGGAAGAATGAATCAATCTTTGCATTTCAGTGCTGTGTGTTTGTGTGATGATGATAATAATAATAATGTGTGCTTGCTGTTTATCAGCTAGCGCTTCCTTTCCTTTGTGGACACAGGCACTCCTGTCACCATCCTGTGCTTTTACCCCTGGAAAATGCCTGAAAAAATTAATCTCTGGATAAGAATGCCTTTCGTAATAAACCCAATGGGTAGGGTGACCATATAGTTTTTGTCTATACGGGGCCAATTTGGGAGCGAAAGGGGCACTGGTAGGGGCACTGGTAGGACTATCCCAGGCAAACAAAACTACCTGGCACCTTTGGGCACCATGCTGCTCGGCGCTCTCAGGAGAAGAGAGCCCCAAATCCTCCGAACCATCCTGACTCCCATTCTCCAGTCAGACCGTGGACAGGGTCCCCCACCTTCTTATCTCCACCAGCCAAACCTACTGGGAGCTGTGTTCAGCCCAGTTCCCCACCCTTCCATTGCCCTGAGAGTGTTCTAGAATGTTTGTACTGTTCCCGACGTGAAAAACCTGTGGCACCTGCTAAGGACCTGGCGTGAGCCCTGCAAAGACATCCATCCACCTCCCGACACGTGCCAGCTCAGGGATTTCTCGAGCGGCCCCATCTCTCATTAGTTTCCATAGGCTTATGACTGGTCCCTCTGCTTCTGCTCTTTCCCACTTTTGATCTATTCTCAACCAAGCAGCCTGAGCGATTCTGTGAAAACATAAGTCAGATTATGCGTCTCATCTGTTCAAAGACAGTGGCTCCCCATCTCACTCAGAGAAAAACAGCCCATAAGGCCCCAGCCTATTTAGCCCTTAATTATCTCTCTGGCCTCATCTCCTAGGACTCTCCACACACACAGGTGTTCTGGCTTCTGCCCACCTGAGGGCCCTTGCACCTGCTCTTCCCCTCCTTGAAACACTTGCCCCTTAGATATCCATAGTATTATTTCCCTCACCTCCTTCAGATCTTTTCCCAATTCTCTCCTTTTCAAAGTCCTTCCCTGGCCATCCTATGAGAATGTAACACCCTCCCTTGTCACTCTGTTCCCCTTCCCTACTTTCTTCCTTAGCATTTAGCTCGCCAAATAGATCATATGTATTACTTATCATGTTTATTGTCCAACCCCCTCAATCTCTGTGAGAGCTTGGTTTTCGTTTGTTTTGTTCTTTACTATATCCCTGGTATCTGAAACAGCACCTGGCACATCGTATATGCTCAATAAATATTTTTTAAGTGAATAAAGAACTGACCGAGAGGAAACATAGCATTGTGGTTAACGTTTGGCCTCTGGAGTAAAAATCCTGGGTTTTAATAAAATACATAGAAGAAGACATAGGTACTACATTTATAGACCTTGGTCTCAGGGAGGGTTTATGAATTTGACCCCAAAGGCAAGGGAAGTAATAGCAAAAACAAATGAATGGAATTATATCAAACTAAAAACCTTCTGCAAAGCAAAAGACACCATCAACAAACAAAAAGGCATCCAACTGAATGGAAAAAGATATTTGCAAACAATACTTCTGATAAGGGGCTAATATCCAAATTATACAAAGAATTCATACAACTCAATAACAACAAAAACCCCAACCAATTCAAGTAAAAATAGGCAGAGAACATGATTAGACCCTTTTCCCAAGAATACATACAAATGGGCAACAGACATATGAAAAATACTCAACTCCACTAGCTATAAGGGAAATGCAAATCAAAACCACAATGAAATACCACCTTACACCTTTGAGAATGGCTATTATCAATAAGACAAGAAACAAGAAGTGTTGGAGAAAATGTGAAGAAAAGGGAACCCACATACACTGCTGGTGGGAATGTAAATTGATACAGCTACTATTGAAAATAGTATGGCGCTTCCTCAAAAAATTAAGAGTAGAGCTACCATATCACTAGCAATGCCTCCTCTGAGTACCTACCAGAAAAATTTGAAAACATCTATAATAATCAAATCGACTGAATGGCCGAACAGCGGAACAGCCGTCTGGACGACTTTCTGGATGAAGCCGGGGCTGCGAGGGCCTACTCTTGCATGAATTTCATGCATCAGGCCTCTAGTTTATCCATAAAGATATATGTACCCCTATGTTCATTACATCATTATTGTCAGGGGTCAAGATATGGGAACAACCTAAATGTCCTCCAGTGGGTGACTGGATGAAGAGGATGTGGTACATAGATACAATGGAATACTACTCAGCCATAAGAAAAGATGAAATACTGACAATTGCAATAATATGGATGGATCTTGAGAGTATCATGCTAAGTGAAATAAGTCAGATGGAAAAGGACAAGAACCATATGATTTCACTCATGTGGAATATAAAACAAAGCAACAAAAGAAAAAACAAACAAAAAAACATAAGAACAAAAAACCTTATAGACACAGACAACAGTATAGTGTTTACCAGAGGGGTTGTATATGAATACATACGCCAGCCAGCGGGGGAGGGGAGAGAGAGTAGGTGAAGCCATCCCCACCTGCCAGCTTCCTGTCTTTGCCTACTGATAAATAGGGATACTCATGGCCAGATTTTCCATTCCTCCCCATCCTGGCGCCCTCTGTCACTCAATTAAAAAAAGATAGGAGAGGGCCTGGGGGAGGGGCAGACAGCCTCTGCTTATAAAGCCTGTCGCGTAGCAGGGTGAGCACACTCAGCAGGCCTGCCCAGTCCTCTGCCTGTCATCCCCAGCAGATTTAGCTGCTGACAGCTGCTTGGGACTTTGCTGCCAGGCCCTGGCCCAGACCGCCTCCTCTCCTCTCTCTCAGTGACTCCCCAGCCACAGCCCCGCCATGGCCCAGAAAGAAGAGGCTGCCGCTGCCGCCACCACCACCGAGGAGTCTGCGCCTGCCTCCCAGAATGGCGAGGATCTGGAGAACCTGGACGACCCCGAGAAGCTGAAGGAGCTGATCCAGCTGCCCCCCTTTGAGATCGTCACGGGGTGAGAGCTGGTGTGGCCTGGGTCCTCCTCCCTAGAGGAGCAGGGGCTGGGGACAGGCCGGGGGATTTAGGACAGTAATAGCAGGAGTCAGGGTCAAACTATGAGCGTGCGCAGGTGTGCAAGGTAGGGGCTGCTGGAGACACAGCAGCAATCTGGCTTGGCTTCTTGGGGTGACACCCTGGACCCTCCAGTCAGGGGAGGTAGGAGGAGTTCCTTGGAGGCAGTGCAACCACCGCTGAGGCCTCCTGGTCTTGGGACATCACCCGCCTCTCTGTTCAGTCCCAGGGAACCTGGTAAGGACACTGGCACATTTAAATGTGGCCCCAGTCATAGGGCCTCCTCCCTCCCTTCTCTCTGCTTCCCAGTGGGCCTCTCCTCTATCTGCATGTCTCCCTCTTTGGTTCTCAACCTTCCTAATGCCGCGATCCTTTCATACAGTTCCTCATGTTGTGGTGACCCCCAATTTCATTGTTACAAATTGAACATAATGAAAGCATAGTGATTAATCACAAAAACAATATGTAATTATGTGTTTTCCGATGGTCTTAGGCGACCCCTGTGAAAGGGTCGTTCGACCCCCAAAGGGGTCGCGACCCACAGGTTGAGAACCGCTGCTTTAGAGCCTCCCTCAGGAGGAGAAGATCCTAAAACAGGATCATCCTTCCCCAGGCCTGAGTGAGAAGCAGTTTTGTCCTTGTTCAGTCTTTTCTGAGCTTCCCCAGGGCCTGTCCACCTCCACCCCCAAGGAAACAGGTCACAGTACAGATAACAGAGGCTAGGCCAGGAGCTTCTGGACAGAAGAGGGATCCCACCCCTGTAGCCACAGCCCAGCCTGGAGGAACCAGGACCCAGAGCAAAGGGTGAGGAGGCCCCACGCAGGGGCTGCTTACAGGGTCCTTCTGTCTTATCCACATCGTGCGTCTCTAGGAATAGCACCAAGTGGTCTTCCTCCTCTTCCCTCTGTGTCCCTTTAAGAGAAGACCCTGCTAAGTTTCTAAGCAAAGAATAAGAGGGGGATACGTGAGGCCACATTTCCTCCTGAGCCAAGGTTTCCCCCCTGGGGTCCAGCAAGGCTCACAGGCAGAGGAGTTGCACTAAGGGGCGTGGTGCCTTCAAGGGGCAGAAGAATCCCTGGGTGGCAATGTGACCTGCCACTTTAAGCTTGGCAAGTCGCTTTCCAGTCCCGCCTCCGTTTTTTCATGTGTAGCATGAGCAAGTTACGCTAGCTGATTTCCAAGCTCCCTTCTAGCTCAGGAATTTTCCAATTTCTAAGCGAACCTTAGGGAAATGCATCCTAATTCCAGAGGCAAGAATTCAGGGTAGAGCGTTTGCCCATGCCCAACCAAAGCCGCTCTCGACCTAGGATTAAAAAAGCAATGGGCACAGATGAATATTGACATAGGGGCCGCCGAGAGTCGCAGGCCAGCAGAGTCCTTGGTTCCAGGAGCTCGCTATGGAAGGAGACCCTTTTTCTGTCCCCTAAGCACACTGGTGCATGCTGTCCTGGCCACGCAGACGAGCACATATGCGCCCACTCGGTGCAGGCTGTGATCTCCCCACACAGGGACAGGGTAGGCTCTGAACAGAATCAGATTGTGTTTGTTGAGTTAAATAGGCTTTGGAGTCCCAGGGTGGCAGGTCCTAACGGGTTAAGTCCTCTCGTGTAACTTACATCTGTCCAGCTCTTTATAAGCATGGCAAACGTTCACATGCATGAGCTCATTCAATCCCCAGCACAGTGCTAGGAGAGGGAGCTATAGCATTGCCACTCTCAGATGGGGAAACTGAGCGAGGGAGATTGAGTGACTTGTCCAGGACCTCAGAACCAGTAAGTGGCAGGTCGTCTGACTCCAGCCAAGTGACCTTTCCACTGTTCTCTTACTCATTCTGGTTCCCAGGTTTACCAAGCAGAGCTCCACCTGTCTCCATCTGCAGGGCAGCGTGGGTCAGAGGCTTTCCCTGACCCGTGGCTCAGAAAAAGGGTCACAGGTCGGGCAGCTTTCTGGGCAGCTCAGGGGGGAGGTGGAGCCCTGAGTGTTTCCTGGCCACAAGTGACAGCTGTGGAGAGCTGTCTCCTGGGCCCCAGGGGTAAACAGGCAGCTTAAAATAGCCCAGAGGTGCGGCTATGTCTATGCAGGGACAGGAAGAGGGAGTGACTTTCCTCTCCTTCCTTCTCCAGATGCCCTAGAGTCAAAGGGGTCCCAAGCAGGTCCTCTCCTAGCCTGTGCCACAGGGGTGAGTCTGTCCATACTACTCCTTAGAAGTGTCACAAACTAGCAGAGAGCAGGTGGCTTTTTAGCAAAGAGTCTGAGGTGAGAAAGGAGTACTGGGTAGGCATAGAGAGAGATACCCTGCTTGTCATGATTCTGGTTTGAAGAGTGCACTCAGGATAGAAGCAGACCTAAGACCATCCTATATAATAAAAGCCTAATATGCTAAGTGTCTGGTCAACCGGTAGGCCATTCAACCAATCAAAGCATAATATGCTAATGATATGCTAAGGTCTCTCAACCGCTTGCTATGACGTGCACTGACCACCAGGGGGCAGACAGTCAACTGGTCAACCAGTTGGTATGACACGCACTGACCACCAGGGGGCAGACGCTCCGACTGGTAGGTTAGCTTGCTGCCGGGGTCTGGCCTATCAGGACTGAGCAAGATGGGCCGGACACGCCCTGGAGCCCTCTCACAGTCCCCTGGCTGGCCAACCTCTCATGTCCCTCCCCAGCCCTGATCGTGCACCAGTGGGGTCCCTCGGCCTGGCCTGTGACCTCTCACAATCTGGGACCCCTCGGGGGATGTCAGAGAGCCAGTTTTGGCCCGATCCCACAGGCCAGGCCAAGGGACACCACTGGTGCATGAATTCGTGCACCAGGCCTCTAGTTATCAATAACTTGGAGGAAAGTGTTAGAAGGGAATCTAAAGCTGTAGTGGTGGGCCCCTGCCAGCTCACATTGGCTGAGAGTCGACTGTGCATCTCTCTTCCCAACTCCGAGTTCTTGAAATCGCAGTAATGCAAGTGTTTACTACAGAAGTCAGCAAAGTTAGAAATGAGGGTCTTTTCACTTTCTCTCAGTTTCCTGGGTGCTAAGCTAGCACACCACTGAAAGACAGGAGCCTCTGAAAGTGAGAGGAAGAGTAGAGAAGGGCTGAGGTTGGAAGTGCTTAAGATGGGCTCTGAGGGTTAAGATTTGAGGCCAGAAAAAGGCCCCATCCATCAATGCTAGGTCTAATTTTTTGAGCATCAGCAGTTGTTCAAAACCTGAGGGGTTCAGTTACTCAACCTATCTTTCAGATGAGGAAACCAAGCCTTGCAGGGATGAGTAATTTGCCCAAAGCTAGTGAATGGAGCGGGGCGTGCACCCCAGGACTGTCTGACTCCAAATTGTCACGCTGTGTCTAAAAAAGCCATAAAGAGGAGTCGTTTATAGTCAACAAATACTTATTGAGTAGGAATCATTTATTTGCTGCCCGTTTCCTCCACTACTATTTAACTTCCATAAGGATAGGGATGTTGCCCTTTGACTGCTTTGTCCCTAGCACCAAGAATAATACTCAGCCCATGCCCAACCAAAGCCACCCTCCACCTAGGATTAAAAAAGCAATGGGCACAGATGAATATAGACATAGGGGCCGCCGAGAGCCTCGGGCCAGCAGAGTCCTTGGTTCCAGGAGCTCGCTATGGAAGGAGATCCTTCCATAAGTATTTGTAGGTAATAAGTATTTGTTGTTGAATAAAGGAGTGAACTAATGAGGAGCACCTATTGTGTGCCAGGCTCTCTGCCAGGCGTTGGGATAGGGAATTAATTGCAGGGGAACTTCTCAAGGAGAGAAATTCAGGATGTATGAAGATCCAGCAGTGCTAAGCCCAGAGAGGATTTCACTGGTCCCTGGCTGCCTCTGGACTCAGCATGCTCTAGGGAAGCACCAGGCCACCAGGATTGGTTGTGTCCATCTCTCCATCCAGTGATGGGTGACTGACTGTGGCTTAGCCTGACAGCACCTGTGTTTGTTTTTGCCTCTAGTTATTTGTATATGATTTTGCACGAAGCTGAACCTGCTATCAAGGGGTTATTATGGAACAGAGATGAATGGCACATGCAGTGATTTCCCTTCAGGACACTGCTTTAGCTTCCAGTAGTTTACTCTGGCTGAGAAACAAGGCAGGGTTCAAAGGAAAGGGACAGGCAAGGAGTGAGGGGCCTTCACACCATTGTTAATGCCACAAGCCCCACACCCCTTACTCTGGACTCTGGAGCATGCTGGGAAGGTTTGGTCCATAAACAATAGAAGACAGGATGGCATGGCTCAGTGGTTGAGTGTAGACCTATGAACCAGGAGGTCACCATTTGATTCCTGGTCGGGGCACATGCCTGGGTTGCAGGCTCGATACCCAGGAGGCAGCCGATCAATGATTCTCTTTCATCACTGATGTTTCTATCTCTCTCTCCCTCTTCCTTCCTCTCTGAAATCAATAAAAATATATATATATTAAAAAGAATAGAAGACAGCACTGACTCTGACCACCCTGGTCTCCTCTCCAATGAGGGCCAGTGGAAGGTCAGAGCTCAGTGTAAAGATGGTGCTGCTCAGGGAAAAGGCGTGGACTCAGGGCCTGCCTAGGTCAGAATCCTATCCAGAACTGCCAATCAGGAGCAGGCAGCCCACCACACCCCTTCTCAGCACTAGGAAGTCAGTCTGTTCCAACTCCCAGCTTCTCTCCACTCCTCCTTCAGTTGAGGCCCACTTTAGCATTCACTTTGAAAGTTGTCTGAAAATGGAAAAGGAATCCGAAACTGGCAATTCTGCCTCTTTTGAGCAGGTCTAGTGAAAGAAAGCTGAAATGAGTCAACACTCAGTTACCAGTGAATGGATTTTCCACTCCCTAGATTACCTTGGAGCAAATATTTAATCTCAGACCAGCATCTACTGCCCTCCAGGTTGCTTCTTTTCACTGTATAGATTTTTGTTTAGAAAACACAAATGTTTTTAAATGTGAACATGGGAAGATATATATATATATATATATATCATAGGCCCAATGCATGAAATTCATGCAAGGGGCTCGGCCCCCTCCACTGTGGCTTCGTCCGGAAGGATGTCCAGTCTAATTAGCATATTATGCTTTTATTATTATAGACATGTGTGCATATATATATACACACACATATATATGTGTATATACATACATACATACATACATGTGTATATATGTATACACACATATGTATATATACACACATTTACTCACATCCCTTCCCCTCCACCAAGCAGACCATCATCCCAATTTTTTTCTAGATATCTGGAGTCTCAGTTTCCTGCCTAGAGAATTGCAATGCCCAGTCCAGTACCCTGGGTCTAAGCAGATGAAGTGTGAATGGCCTTGACTGCAGAAAGTATGAGAAAGTGGTACTTAAAGAGGCTGGGGGTAGGAATAATGCTGTTGGTTTCTGTGCCTGAAGAAGCAACTGAGCCCAGGTAAAAAATTCTACCATCTGCATCTCTCTCCTGACCACCACTCCAACACACACACACACACACCACTTTAGCAGTAACTTATCTTATCTGCTGGGGTTCAGAGTATAAGTAAATGTGGTCCACCGGCATATCATACTACTTAGAAAAAAATGTTTGTGATAATTTAAGAAGTGTCACTGTTTCCCCTTCTACCAGTGGGCATAATGTGTTGGCTTAGTTTGTGATTCTGTAATGTCATCCAAGATGAACATGTTGTCTTAGCTCCCTGGGGAAGTTTCAGAGCTCTACCAACTCTGTTGCCCTGGTTTCCCTCAGGGGCCCAGCTCTTTCAGTCCGTGGGAATTCCCAAAGAACATCACTTGATCTGTATGCTCCTTCCAGAAGACCAAACTGGAGAAGCCAAGCAAACCCAGTCTCTGAGGAAGCCCAAAGGAAAGGCTGGGAGCCAAGGTCTTCCCTGACTATCCTTTGCCCCTTGAAAGCACTTCCCTCCCTGAGGCATCTATTTTGTCTTTCTATTGTCTCTGCTGAGGGGCAGGGTAGACCATGAGGCTGCTGGCCAGAGGGGTTGGAAAATGATATTTATAGAAGTGAACTTTCCTCCTCTCCCTTGGGTTTCACATTTCTCTTGGTCCTCTCCCCTTGCCCAGGGAAGGACGAGGGAAAAACACCAGAGCTTAAGGGGGGCTGAGAAAGCAGCAGTCTCAGACCATCAGGCCAACTGGCAATTGCACACTGGGCCAAATTCATAGTCTAGGCTGGACTATACTTGGCCAAGTTGGTGCAATACTTCTGGGGGTTCCAGAAGGAAACCCGAGGGACCACTGACAGCCATTGCTGAAGCCCCCAAGCCAATCACGAAGTCATGAAAACAGCAGGTCCTCCAATAACCATGTCTTTTTCAACATTTCATTATAACATTGATGAGATGCCATCGGAACTTAAATCTTGTTTATATCATTTAGCCTATGGTAAAATTGGGTTCTTATATGTTGTTTTGGTTAAAGTCGCAGAATTTATTGACTACATGAAGTGAGGACTTCTGAGAATCTATCATACAGGTGGCTCTGGATTAGACTCGGGGTGGGGTGGCATGGTCTGGCAAAAGGACTTGAAGAGCCAAAAAAGGACTTGGGCGAGAAAGGTAAGCTCCATGCTTCTTGGAAGGGAAAAGCCACTCCGGAAGAGAAGGGGTCATTTAGCAACCGCAAAGTTCAGGAGTGGTCTGGTGGGTGAGTTTATTAGGGAGAGCTAATCCCAGCAGGGGCTGAAAGAGGAGAGGGGCAGCATCGGGTCATCCATTCTCCCAGAATACTAAGTCAATAACAAACACATCCAACCAGGGACAGAGGGGCTTAGAGAGCTAAGTATAGCACCCAAAGGAATCCCTGGGGCTGGGTCCTCAAACACATCCATCTCCGAAGTGGAAACTTAACTTGCCAGCAAGGGACACGGAAACTTGGGGAGAATAAAGTTGGTGGTGGGAGGAAGGGCACACTGCAGGGCAACCGCTCAAGTTTACTCAGCTCTTTGGCACCTGCTGCTTACCCCTAACAAGCCACGGCCCTGGGATGCCAGGGATTCCCCTGCAGCCCAGGGAGTTAGCTGACCTCTTTGGGGAAACAGAAGGCAGGGAGAGAAGCAGCAGAGAAGTTAATGGTTGCCTCGGGATATCTTCTGGGGCAGCCAGAGACATTGCATTTTTGTTTTTATTTTTATTTTGAGAATTTTTATGAGTTTATTTGAGCCAAACTGATGACATCTGCTGGGGGGCAAGATCTCAAATGCTCCCCAGAGATGACATTTTTTAAAAAGAAAACACTCAACCTGTCCAGCTGGTGCTAGTCGTCCCCTGCTCTCCCTCTGGCACTTTCACGCTCTCCTATTCTAGCTCCTTGGCCTTCAAACCTGCACAAATCTTCCTATTTTAGAAAAACACTCCCCTCCACATAAAGATAGAAACAACCTTCAACTCCGATGTCCTGTCTAGTAGTCTGTCTGCACTTTTCTCCCCTTCTTCTTACTACTAAACTTTTCAAAGCCTGGCCGCAGTGGTTCAGTGTTTGAGCGTCAACCTATGAACCAGGAGGTCACATGCCTGGGTTGTGGGCTTGATCCCCAGTTTCTCTCTCTCCCCCTCTTCCTTCCTCTCTGAAATCAATAAAAATCTATTTAAAAAAAAAACAACACAGCCTTTTTCTGCTGCTTTCCTTTCCTTGTCGTCCATCTCCCCTTGAAGCCACTGGACATATTCACCACCAAGTCTGGTTTCCTCAGACTCCAAGTGGGCTGTCTCTATTTCAGGCTTTCTCCAGCTTCACTCTGTCTGCTTGAAGCCACGACAGCCCTCTTCTGTGGGCATGACTTTTACTGTCTTTCTCTCTTTTCTTTTCTGTGCACCATTCCGGAAGTACTGCAACAGATAAGCAGAATAGACGGAGCAAGCTCCTATTCCACCTCCCTGCTCCAAAAATTCATTTAATATATCATCCTTGGGTAGAGGCCATATCCGATATTAAACTGGTAAGAACAGATACTATACTTGATCTGAGCCAAAGAGAAGCGATTTATTGTGTCTTTTGTTACTCAAGAACCTGTAACAATTCTCTATTGCCTCCTGAATCAAGGCTAAACTTTCAAGAGCCTTCATATGTCCTTCACTCTACCTACTCCTTTTTAGCAGTTTTCTATTGTTTGCAGCTGTCTTATTTATATCTCTCCTGTCCAGCTAGAATCTAGCTGCTAGGTTATAAGTATCTGGAGGGTAGGGGCCAAATCTTAGAAGCTAAATCATATCAAGATACCCTTAGGTAGTGTGGCCTCCAAGATAAAAATTCTAGGACAGCCTTTCTTTCACCTGAGGGAAAAGACAGGCTTGAGAAACAGTCACTAGGAGAGCGTGGTGGCACTGCAAACTGTAGGCCATTCTGAGGGAAGATGCAACATACATGAATGACAAGGAGGAGGAACGAAGCATGAAATGTTCTGCAAAATCTTTGTCTTGCTGTCATGAGAAATTGTATATGGTTGCTACTTTGTAAAATTACTATTTGAACACTGCTTTTCAAACCTGGCCACAAATTAGGATCATCTAGAGAGCTTTTTAATATGCTGATGCCTGGTCCCTCCTACCCCCAGATGTTCTGATTTAACTGGCTTTGTGTGGGGCCCAGGCATTACTGGCAGAGCCTTCAAGGTGCTGCTAATGTAAAGCCAGGTTAAAGAGACACTGACTTAGAAATGTAGGCGTGTGTTGTGCACAGCAAGTGATGTTGGTTGTTTGGAGACCCTTCCTGATGGGGTGAACAGAATGCACCCCTCACCCCAAATTCTCCTTCCTCCAGAGAAACCCTGCGGGATGCTTTCATGCCTTTTTGTCCCTCATGCTGAGGAGGTCTGGCCCTAGGAAGAACTCATCATTCTCTCTTCTTCCCTGTCCCTTTGTCTTCTCGACCCCACAGGGAGCGGCTGCCTGTTAACTACTTCAAGTTCCAGTTCCGGAATGTGGAGTACAGCTCAGGGCGGAACAAGACCTTCCTCTGCTATGTGATTGAAGTGCAGGACAAGGGAGGCCAAGTGCAGGCATCCCGGGGATACCTCGAGGACGAGCATGCAACTGCCCACGCGGAGGAAGCCTTCTTCAACACCGTCGTGCCAACCTTCGACCCGGCCCTGCGCTACAACGTCACCTGGTACGTGTCCTCCAGCCCCTGCGTAGCTTGCGCCGACCGCATCATCAAAATGCTTAGCAAGACCAAGAACCTGCGCCTGCTCATCCTGGTGGGGCGTCTCTTCATGTGGGAGGAGCCCGCGATGCAGGCTGCGCTGAAGAAGCTGAAGGAGGCTGGCTGCAGGCTGCGCATCATGAAGCCCCAGGACTTCGAGTACATCTGGCAGAATTTTGTGGAGCAGGAAGAGGGCGAATCCAAGGCCTTTGAGCCCTGGGAGGACATTCAGGAGAACTTCCTGTACTACGAGGAAAAGTTGGCCGACATCCTGAAGTAGGCGACTGCGCTCAGCCTCACGTGAGTCATGGCACTATTACTCCAGTAACAGGGCTGAAGGCTGGAGGTCCCAGGTGGAACCAGTGGGGTTAGATTTTCCTTGGGAAAGATTTGATTTTTCTGCTTTGGGTTGACTGTAAAAACATTTTAGGACAGCGGTTCTCAACCTGTGGGTCGCGACCCCTTTGGGGGTCGAATGACCCTTTCACAGGGGTCGCCTAAGACCATTGGAAAACACATATATAATTACATATTGTTTTTGTGATTAATCACTATGCTTTAATTATGTTCAATTTGTAACAACGAAAATACATCCTGCATATCAGACATTTACATTACCATTCACAACAGTAGCAAAATTACAGTTATGAAGTAGCAACGAAAATAATTTTATGGTTGGGGGGTCACCACAACATGAGGAACTGTATTAAAGGGTCGTGGCATTAGGAAGGTTGAGAACCACTGTTTTAGAAGATCCTCTCTCCTTTTATTTCCTCTAAATTCCTCTCCCTAAATCCTGTTCCCTCCTACTCTTTTATATCAGACTAACTTTCCCTATAACATGGAATCATAGGGTTGACAGGAATCTGAAAGCTTTCATGAGAAAGTCTGTATTAAGGTTTAGATGGCACAAGAGCCTACTACTGGAAAACAGCCTAGAATATATTTCAGTCCCCTAAATATGCCCCCATGGGCGTGTATCCAGAATTAGTAATGTAGATGCCTTGCTCCCACCTCCATTTGCAATCCTACCATTCCATTTTTTCCTCTAAAGCAGGTGTTTCATTCTATTGGGGGTAATTTTTTTTTTCATTTTTGAGACTTTTGAAATTCCCCAATTTTTGGCCAGAGCAACTTTCGTGTTTTCAAACAAATGATTCTGCTTTGAGGGAGACCAATACTTGCTGTGTGAATGTATAATGCAAGAACATTTTCCCAATGTTGAAAAGACAGCAGAACTCAGAAAAAAATGCTGATTGCAGGGATGGGGATAATATAGCAACACACTCTTCCATGCAGGAATGTTTAAAGGGTTAAAAAATGTTTGTAAATTAGGCAGCCACTCAGAAGTAGCCTCCTACAGATATCAAGATGTAATAGGAGAACTGGAGGTAAAAATTAGCTATTTAAGTAAATAATTAGGACACAATTAAGGCCGATTTGGCCTCTTGCTGAGGGTAAATTAGACTCTTACAGAAACAGGCCAATTACCCTCAGGAAAGAGGGTAAAGAATTCTTTACTATCTTTGTTTTAATTTGGTCTTTTCTACTTTGCTCCCACAGCAATGCTATGTATGGCTAAGTCCCTTTACTAGGCGTGAGTTACTGATCAAAGTCCTCCAGTAACAGGGAATGGGTCTTCACCACCCTCTTTAAGAAACCTTAATTTTGGAATAACATATTACTAAAACACAAAAGAAGCATGCTTCCATGAAGTTATTCATTTTTGGTGTCTCTCTTAATATACTTAAGATTCACTTCATAAACACATTTTGAAAATATCAATTTCTGGAGGTTGATGTTGGCAGGAGTGTGCTATTAGACATGCACTCAGGGTGCCTGGTCATCCTCCAGATCAGTGGTCGCCAACCGGTGGTCCGTGAGGTCCCAAAGGTTGGCAACCGCTGCTCCAGATGAGCATTCGCCAATCCATAAAGACACAATTTTCAGCCATTTCTTACAAAAAAAACAGGACCCATTCATTCAATTCAGTGAGACTATGATCAGGTAATGTCACGTGGTACTCTACGCATATAAAATAAGACACCACTTTACATAGTAATACAATCAGATTTTTAAGGGTGACCTTTGAAGATACAAAATTAGCTTTTAAATTCCTTGAAGATTTTATTAGGGTAATTATAAACCCTACATAGATTCTACAGAAAGACTAGTAGCTTAACTTTTAACCCTAGTATACTTCTTAAACATCTTTCAGAGTCATGGGCCACTTCTTCCAGCTGCCTAACTAGCAAGTCCTCAGGGATTTGTGTATGTTGTTGTTGTTTTTCCCTCATTAAGTCAAATGAGATGTCTAAATCTGCTATAAAAATTAAGCATTTCAGGGAAGATTAAATAGAGCTTTTAATTTTAGATAATTGAGGGTTGTACCTTATGCTAATCTAAACAGAAGTAAATAGATAAATCAGCTTGATGGAAAAAGTCCATTTCTAAGTCAAATTCTTCTTAAAATATTATTGGACATTTTCCACATTATAAGCCTCATTCCATTAGTGGACATAGCTATATTATCTGGACCCATTACTGACAAGCTTCCCAGTACTCTATTTGAGTTGCTCATGTTCCTGAAGGAAAAGGTTAAAATGTACTAAGTTTAAAAAAAAATAGGGTTGTTACCTAAAAGACCTAACAAACAACTATGCTTTAGTAAAATAATCCCAAGAAATAGGCATTTGCTAAAGAAAAATTTCCTCATATTTCTTATTCCATCTTTTTAAAAAATGACAGACTAGGATTTAGCCATGTATTCAACTCATAAGAACAAAGTTAAAGCAGATCTCTTCTGGGGTTTTTCTGTGTGAACCATACCAAACATGAATGGAATAGATCCAACCCTGGGTAAACCAGAAGTCACAGGACACAATGGAGAAATTCTGGGACTTGGGGAAGTCACACAGAAACAGTAGTTAAAACAGAAAATTCTTCATTGTTTGGGGCCAGCACGGCTCTCAGTAACATGTTTTCTGTTTTCTCAAGGTCTGCCTGCTGCCAAGAGATGGCGGTGACATGTATGGGCATCTGGGACACGCCTGACTTCCTAATACCACGTGGAGCTGGACAACATTTAACACCAACCAATCCCACTGCACAAGGCCCTCTAAGGACTCAAAATATACTTCTCATGCTATAAATCATTTTATCGGTGCCTCTCTCTCTAAGGCTGCTCTTGGGAAAGAAAAGAGTTGCAAGGAGAAATAGCAAACATATATGGGCACCAGGTATCATGGGTCTGAGGGTCCTAATTATTCCCCCAAATGGGCTGCTTAAGGCAAAGAGCCTCGGACCCAAGATCTGTGCAGATTTTTAAATATGTCCAGAAATGCATTTATGTTAAGTTGGTCTTTTTTTTTTTTTTTAAGAAAAATAAGCAGCAATAATAAAAGTGGCGTGATTTTTCTGTGACCAGGTTTTTGAAGAAACTTGGACATTTAGATTTTAACTATGGACAGCACTGAAGTCCCAGGAATAGGGATTTCCCAGGCTACATTTTAAGTGGGAGGGAAGCTTAAATCAGAACCTGGCTAGGCAACAGAGGATACTAACTCTCCCATGTAGACTTCTCATCCTGGTCTTGACCTTCATAAAATATTTCCTTCCAAGATTCCTCAGTAAAGGGTGAAACAAAAGGCATGGGAAATACTTCTAAAATATCCATGTCCCAACAGCCAACTAATAAGCAATTAGCCTCTTGATTAATTAGAGGTGAGTAGGATTTTCATGTTGACACACAATATGAGGAGTCAACATGTGGTACTTGATGGTGATGGCAGGATGATGTCAAAGTCTCATTTCTTAAAAGATCTGAGTCCTGTGTAGAAGTAAAATTTCACATGTGAATTGCTGGGTAGCTGCCAAACTCTAATTAGGTTTCCAGGAATAATGTGCTCATTCTGATTATCAGGCAATGCCTTTCTCCAGGCTGAGTGTGATAAGTCATCGGAATTTGACCCCAACACTATCTACAAATAACAAAACATTTTATCACATCCCTGCTGAGTCCAGGAATTTCACTTACTGCCAGTTCTCCACAAAACTAAGCTTTGTTAAAAGAATCGTGAAAGTTCTTACTCCATGAGAAAAAATTGCCCTATGTAGAAGCAGCAATGTTTTCACCCAAGTGTTAAGATTTATGTGCATAGTTTGCAAAATAATTTAATTCTAAGTTTTCTCTTATTACCCATTCTCATTTTCAGTTTTGTGTATTGAGACATTCCTTCCCTTCTTTCCCCCTTAGTTTTACCACTAGTAATGAACAGAAGCAAAGCTTCTTCAAGAAAAGCCTTAGTCTAAAAGTTTGATCATGAACTTGCTCCTGCCCTACCCCACCCCAACTACATGGAGAAGTTGTGTGTTCCACACAGAGGTACAAAAGATGTGGAATACTTTTTTAAACTGCTGCCTCATATCAGGCTGCAATGTGATAAGAATACAAGTCTAAAGTACAAAGGTTATATTTAACCAGTGCTCTCCTGCTGTTTCAACAAGCACATTCTAAAATCCACTTCTTGTCCACTTGAGACAGCAAGTCCCATGAAGGCCCAGAATTCACTCAAGGGAGAAAATCAATAGTAGGTCTAGCTGTTTTAACTCATAACACCACAGTACAGGGGACGGGGGTGGGGGATGGGGCGGGGGGAGGGCGAGGAGAGATGAAAACTCCACTTGTTTTCCCAATACCCCTGATACAGAACCACTGGCTAAACTCATGAACTTTCTTCTCCCACCACAAAAACAAGAGTAGATAAAGTGCTGCTTTCTTAGCTTAAGAAGAGGATTAATATTTACTGCTCTCCCTCCCAGCTGGTTATACCTTAGTGTCCTCTGGAGCTTAAAAACAAAGAAACCTGGCCATCTTCCCTAACCCCCCTACTACCAAAGTAGAAGTTTTTTTGGAAGTGAGTCTTTTTTTGAAAAAGATTCATATGGATTGTGTTGAGAAGTCATTACTCCTCAGTGAGCACTTTGCCAAGCATTTACCATACATTATTTCATGTTTCATGACTGAATTCAGAAAGGTTCAATCACAAACTATGTAGTGAACAGAAGAGTTCACCATGAGTGGTTTCTAAAATCCCGCCCTACCAGTGAGCTGACCCATAGATGCCATCCATTCCTATTTTCCACTTTGCTGCCTTCCCACTAGACCCGTCTGATTTTTCCAAATTAAATTATAGGTGAATCCTCCGTTATCCAAGTCTAGAACAACACAAACATGTGTACAGAACTTCACTGTAGCCCAAGAAGATATTTATTTTCCCACTTTTCCCCCCACAAATTCCTTGTTAACAATGTAAAAATCCATTTTTGTAATTTAAACAAAAGAAACACACCTCAAAATTCTTTCCTAGGATGAATTTGAGGACATACAGATAATAGAAAGTCAATGCACAAATGACAAAAAATGCAAAATTAACTGAAAGTTAATTCTTCCTGAAATTTCTCTTAAACAGCAGAGAAGTAGAATCAATGCTGCCACCTAGTGGCAAGCCAAACAAATTAGGTAGCATCCTGGGGCAAAAAAAAGGATCATAGGGCCCAACACCTGGTTCCCTGCCTAATATTATCAGGCTATTACCTACCTTCCTGAAAAGAAAAGAAAAAAATCACAGCAACATTTCCCAAGCAATCCCTCCTTCAGAGTCCCAATCCAATCATGGGAATTCAGAAACCCAAGCATGGCCTGTGACACAGACAATTTCACATGAAACTTTCCTCTGATCATTTTTGAAGTCAGTTTGCCCAGTCCTGTGGCCCAGTAGGAATGACACAGGAAAACATGGTCACATCCAAAATGCTCATCTGTTCAGAGTGTGTACACAGTAATTCTGATGTCTGTTGCCTCAAACACCTCCTCAATTATTGTGGATACATTTTCCCATTGCAGACGATCAAGACCACACCCAATCCTGAAAAAGATAAAACATCTCCATTGGTTGCCATGAAGGTGTCTAGGAAATCAATCCCGCTCTCTTCCTTTAGGCTGCATTCCCCCAGAGCATGAGAACCAATGATCTGATCTCACACTATAGGCAGCCATGGTGGAAGCTTGGAATTCCTGTTGTGAATCACCCAAGGCTGTTCCTGACAGCACCATCCCACAGCTGTCACTTCTCTTTTCCCTACTTGTTACCACTTCCCCATTGTCCAAGCAACACTGAGCAATGTATAACTGCTGTGACACGGGACACACACTATCCTTCTATGTCTGCTGATGAAAACTAACTGTGGGAGGATGGGGAAAGACTGGCATTTTAAAAATACTTATGATCATGGAAAGTTAAGCAAGATAAAAGAAAAAGAGGACAAAGGACAGGATCTCTGCAAAGAAAGAAGATGGAATGCTGAGAAATGTCAAGCTGACTGCAATTCAGTTCTTTGCAACACCCTGATGAAAAACCTTTATTGACCCACAAACTCTATTACCTAGCACTTTTCTTCTAAGATGTTGCTTTATTGATCCTCAACATCTCTGGGGGTGGGAAGAAAGGCTTTAAAATGCTAATCTCATGTAATGTGATGATTAAGTCCCTGAAAAAATATTGTGATTTTAAAAAGTTTATGATACATAATCCTTAAGTATATTAAAGACCAGTGTAAGACAAGGGACCCTGTAGTCACTTAAGTAACTTAGAGCTTGAAATAAACCCACATGCATGGTCAGCACTGACTCAAAACTAGACTGACAGAAAGAGAGGTGAGTCCAAGCCTATTTCCTGAAAAGGATACAAAGGGCCTACTGAAAAACCCCAATGTCATTCCTTAAGTTCCCAATAGGGAGGGTCTAAGACAGTGATGGCGAACCTTTTGAGCTCGGCGTGTGAGCATTTTGAAAAACCCTAACTTAACTTTGGTGCCGTATCACATATAGAAATTTTTTGATATTTGCAACCATAGTAAAACAAAGACTTATATTTTTGATATTTATTTTATATATTTAAATGCCATTTAACAAAGAAAAATCAACCAAAAAAATGAGTTCGCGTGTCACCTCTGACACACGTGTCATAGGTTCGCCATCACTGGTCTAAGACATTGCCTCAGGGATATATCCTCTGGCTACTGCCCAAGGTGACCATCAACAAGCAGGCAGTTTAAAAGGCAGAGATCCTTTACAGCTTTTTTGGGGCAGGTTTAACAGGTTTGGGACACCTACAGTGGCCCAGAGGGAAATCACAATTGCTCTGTCTTGGTTCTTAAGCTTACATTGCTTCAGGAATCAAAGCTAAGATTCAGGCGGAGGACACAGAAATTTAACAAATGTGACTGAACAATGGTTCCTCCCTACATAGGTTCCTTCCTATGTAGGTTCCTGCCTACATAGATTGAGGCAGGTGTGGGTTTTAATTATCCTGAGTCACTCAACCCAAGCTAAGAAACGGGTATGCTTTGGCCTAAGGTCTGACAACTGGTTCACTGGTGATATTTTTAAAGTTTTGAAATTTGCCCACCTTTAAGTCTGTATTTTGGATTAAGCTTGTAAGTCATTTGTCTAAACCCCACCAATCAGGTCTTCACTTAGGGCCCTGGATTTCCTTGCCTGGGCATGGAGAGGTCTGTGACTCCATTCTTCAGACAGTGGGACTTCATGGCCTCTAAACTCTTCTGTAAGTTTTCATAAGTTGGCTTGTGTGAAGCCCTTTTCTTTGTAATCTGAGTACAAAGAAAGAATTCAAACTTCTATTAGTCCAAAATGATAGCCAAAGAAAAGCCATCACATCTCCCAACATCCTGATAATTAAAACAAAAAGTGTATTTTTATAGAACAGTCTAAAACAGGGATGACAAATGTCATACTGTCCCTTCCAGTTATGGGAAGCCTTCAGGAAAATCAACTAAATAGGGCCTGAGAAATCCAGACACTGCCAGGTAATAATCATTCCTTCTCTCAAGCCCAGGAGGTTAACAGGCTGTGCCTGTTGTGTAGGTTCTAAGCAAAGTAAGTGAAAGTCTTTGTGCCACTTCCAAGAGATAAGCTGCATATCTGTAACAAGAACCCATACCACCCAAAAGCATCCTAAGTTTATTTACTTAGAAACTATGCTTGCTTGCCTTTTGTTTCTCTATAAAAGAACAGAGACAAGCTGGTAGTACTCCAAATAATACTGAAGCCCCAGCAGCCTTACAGACAGCATTCAAAGACATGAC